ATGTAAATCCTTCAAAGATTTTCATTATACGCATATCAAGTTTTTCATGTATTGCCAAATTAAAACCTGAAAACGATTTCATCCACCGCAGGAGAACATATCTCTATATAACTAATGTTAGTACATTTACGAAAAATCTTGTGCCACAAGTCGTCTTTATGTCTATCAACTTGATTTTTCATTTCACTTTTAGGTGTTGGAACTATCCGTCCAACTTCACATTTTTTAGGTGAAATCAATTTTCATTGTGTATTTTTCATTTGTCCAATCATTTATCTGTCCAAATTACACGACTGATTTGAGCTCAAGATCCTCGTCAATATTAATAATATTGAGTGCCACATTATATCAACAATATCGGCAACGATCATTTTACATTGGTTCCATCATCACACAATAAAGACATAACTTATCGTGATCTCATTAGTTTCAGGTACCTGAGCCTCTTCCATGAGGTTTTATAGAGTGTTATATCGTCGTGCTCTTATAAAGCACTTACCTCCTTATAAATGACCATCTTGATCATTTGCTCCACTCCTTCTTCAAGGAGTTTTATCTTTGGAACCAGTTAGTCTATTACACTTGATGCGTGCCATAGACTCTGGCTATCATGAACTTTATTCCATTTGGAGCATTAGCAGCTGAAATATGACATTTAGCAAATGCGTCTGGCAATATTTTGTAAATGAATTATCACTTGAACTTCAAGTTCACATTTTCTTGTACGATGATCTAGGTTTACTCATAATAATTCATTCCATGTATTACTTTTTCAGCTGCCATTTTCTCCCCCTAATGTTGGGATCACCAACATATTTCCCAACCTTCTTTGGGAATCCATCTTTGTGCATTGTGGTGGAATACTTAAATCATATTGCACATCCATATTTCTAGATGAAAATTATTTGGTTCCTGACCCAGAACCAATTGTGATGGGAAAAATTTATCATAACTTGGCTAGATGCGTACAAGTGCTGCTGTATATTAAATAATACATCTCATACAAATTTCTATTTAGGAGTTTTGTTCTCATAACCAATAGTTTAGCTATAATTGGAGGCATACAATTTCTGCTAAACCAACTTGGATTTAAACCAGCATTATCAAGATAAATCATCATAATTTATATTCTGGAACTGTGCTCTAATAACTTGAGCAATCAACCTTGCAAAATCCAAATTGCAAGTTGATAAGAAACGTGCATGTGACCATACAATAGATGCATCTATGAAAATCATATAATAGCAAACGGTCCACATGGCAGGTGACTGGCCTCTATATATATATATATATATATATATATCACCTTTTATTCGTTCCAGAAATTAAGGGATTCAATCCCAACCTTAACTGGTATATCATGAGAATAAGCAGCACAAGAGAATTCTTGAAGAATCTTCTATTTCTTCATATGCCAATGTGAATTCTCAATTAATTTTTCGCATCATAATTGAACCGGGATGGACAACCGGTCATGCCAATTGATATATGTTTCAGCAAACCTCTAGTTTACTTGTGGCATGTGATTTCAACATCATGCTTATACTTGTGTAGTACAAATAGAAGAAAAGTCGTGTAACATTTCATATTTGAAGATATTCAATCTTCCTTTCATTTATGGTCTCAAATGCCAACCACTTTGGCTAATATATTTAAAACTCAAAAAGTTTCTTTTGAGACTTACTATTATATTAATATCATGAACAATTTCATTCATCCAGGTAGTAATAAATTAGTTCTTCCGGAGCTCTTAACTGATTTTGTACTATAAGATCTTTTATCACACCATCCATATGGTGAATGTCTCCTTCACGGAAATCATATCATAATAGTTTTCATGGTCAAAATCATCATAAGCAAAATTATTTCTTGCTTTAATTTTGCCTTTAATAACCTTTTATAAGGCATGTCAAAATATATTTTCGGCGTACCACATGTACGCGATCAATGACATATTCATGTATCCCCACAGCAATGCTCATTATCTTTCTTTCTCTCAAACCTCCCGTAGAGGTGAGTTGTAGAATTTATTCAACCATGCATAAGCACATTCTTATGCATAATTTGTATCACATATATATTTTCACATTCACTTTTAGGAATGAATCTGTATTTACAATGCTTATTACAAGTCACATTTTCAAGGAATGGACTATAATCATGTGAGCGTGTCTCATATTAACAGACCACATTGATACATATTTTCTTTACCTTTGAAGAGTTATTTCGAGAACCCTTATTGTTCTCATTTTTACAATTACCATAATGGTGACTGTTATTCTTTGATCTTTGGCAAGCCCACGTTCATTGGTCAACCACTTGTCTTCATTTAGACTTCTTATGCATCATCACATTCACTTCAAGAATGGAGCGAATCAAGTGGGACAAGCTTCATGATTTTCTCATGAAAAATACATTATTTTTATTAGTCATCATTATATCATCAATACGGTGCATTGAGACTCAAACCCGATGGCTTACCCATATAACAGCATGTTAGGCCATAATGAGTTGAGACTCAAACCCAACTCTTATAATCGCGGTGCACTAGGACTCGAACTCGATGTCTTACCCTTATGATGCGTTGAGACTTGAACCCACCGTCTTACTCTCAATTAATGGCATAATAAGCCAAAGTGCATGTACTGGGACTTGCCTTCGAACATTTAAAAAAATTACATTATTTTGGCAACCATATATACCATGTAACTCTATTATAGTTCAAGGATATTTTCTAATGAAACACATTCAACTTAAAGAACTGTTACATGATAAATCCTTCGAGATAGATGCTAAACCACAAATATTTTATTATTTCATAAAATAATTTAGTACTGTAAGTAATAATAAACCATCTAGATAGTTATATTTTATGTATAACAACGAACCATCCAATATAAATGAAATTAATACTTGAGTTGTAGCTATATGAAAAATGTTGCTCAAGTATGATATGTATACTAGTAGTACTAATAGAACTACAAGAAAAAATGATTTGACGACTAAGACAAGACATTTATATTGCTAAATATTAACCCTTTCAATTGGTATATAAGCATAAAAATTATATACTTAGGAGCATACCTTGGAATGATGAACCACTTACCAAAAAAAATTCATAGAACATTTGTTTCACTGTCCATACGAAATCCAACAAGCTTACGCATTGGAAGCCACATTGTTACTTGGCTATGGTAATATAAAAGCAGATCAACTTTGTTGTGTCACATTTCCTAAAAGTTGAGAAGGATTGTCGCAGAGAACAATCGTGCTAATAACGTGTTAAGAAACTTAGCTCAAAGTAACAATATAGAACAAGAAAAACAAGCTAAGAGATTTATCGAGAGAGATATGAGAGATTCTTATTTTTTCCATGTATTCAAGTGTATACAAAGTGATGCACAAACCCTCTATTTATAGGATGATATTGAGGTAATACAAAGGGATGTCATGAATATAGTGTTAACAATTAGATCATGGGGAAGATGATGAAGGAAGTTATGAAGGTGTGGGAGTTACAACTATGATGGTAGGAAATAGTGGGAGGTTAATGGAGAAGACTAGTGGGAGTAACTTCTTTAGGAATTATAGATATCCACTACATAATATAATATTTCATAACACGTCCAAATTAACAGAGAGAAATATTCCCAGATAGGCAAAACTACAAGATTGCAACTTGACCACCGCTCAATGGCTCAGTAGATTTATAAAAAAAAAGTAGGAGTATAAAAGAAGCACTTTCTCAATCTAGAAATAAAGTGCAACATAAGATACAAAAGAGATAGATTAAAAAATGGAAAATCTGGGTCCATGAAACAATAATAGTGTATCAAGAAAAAGGTAGCCTTTCAATCTGCCATTGAAGGTGGCATGTGATAAATTAGTCCTTAAAGCGACAATAGAAAACCCCACATAGCTTAAGCTTATGATCTGGATTTCTGGTTACAACTTTTTGCCCAAAACCCTTCCCCTCCAATCCCCTTTGGATTATCCACACCAAGAGCTCGAGTATCGAGTTCCTCTTTCTTTTTTTTTTCTTTTTTTTGTTTTTTGTTTTTGGATGGTTTTGAATGGGCCATTTCCAATAGTAGGTAATTAAGGTGACAACTAACCCCCTTCTGTTGATATTATAATGTTGGAGGGCGACTGTTGGGAAAAATTTAAAAATAGCCAGATTTACAACTGGTCATTCAAAAATAGCCCAGTTTCAAAAGTAATCGAAATTTAGCCACATTTCATGTAAAGATAAATCTGAGCGAAAACATTGTTCAAAATTCAGAAAATACGCCCGCATAATATACTGGAGTTCCAACAAGTATAAATGTCCAGTATAATATACTGGAGTTTGGAGCACCGGTGCTCCAGTCTCCCGTATATTATACAGAAGTCAGCAAAGTATACCGGTCCAGCATAATATGCTGGAGTTCGTACACAAATCCACCGAACTCCCGTATATTATACGGGATCGGTCTCTGTTGCAGCAAAATAGTGGCTATTTTTCATTGACTTGGTAAACACTGGCTATTTTTGATTGACCAGTGCGAAAACTGGCTATACCGTGCTATTTTGACGCGGCTGTTTCAACTGCTGTTTTTTTAATCTTTTAGAAATTATTCCCGAATTTTTTGCTGGTTAATGCACCCACAGCCCAACATTATATTTTGGACAAGTACTATAATGGAGAGTAAAAAGGGCCGATGCATTAAGCTCCCGCTATATGCGGGGGTTCGGGCTGGATTACAAGGATCTATTGTATGCGGTCTTATTCTTTATTTTTGCAAGAGACTATTTTTTACGGCTTGAACTTGAACTTTACCAGTTACACCAAAGTACCTCTTGTTAAGTTAAGGATTCACTTCTAGTACTATAATGGAGAGTAAAAACAATAAACCTTAATGGTAATTAGGTAGAAAAGGAATTGAGACAGCTAATTACAACACAGCACCTACAGCCCAACATTATAAAAGTAAGTCGAATATAGTGTAATAAAAAGACACGCGTTTGACCTCGTAAAAATCGTAAGACTGTCCAAGTCAGTCTCACCCAACCCCAACTCCTCCATTACCAAACCTTCAAAGACCATTTCTGCTTTTCAAATTTCAATGTAAACTATTGCTTTTAAACCCACAAACCCCAATATCAAAATTCTCCTTTTCCTTTCTCCTCATTTTCATTCATTTTCTTATTCGTTTCTCAATACAACAAAAAGTACATCAATACCCACTTTTGTAACTTTTCCGGTCAATTGATTTTTTGGATTGATTTTTGTGCTGGGGTGATTCAAAACTCAATTTTTAGGACTTCTGATCTACCTACGATTTTGTTGTAGTTCAGAGGTTCTTTGGCTTTTCTGATTTTATATATGGCGGACCTAGTGAAGCAGATCTTGACAAAGCCGATCCAGTTAGCAGACCAGGTGATAAAGGCTGCCGATGAGGCAAGTTCGTTCAAGCAAGAATGTACTGATCTCAGGTCCAAAACTGAGAAACTTGTGGCCCTTCTCCGTCAGGCTGCACGCGCCGGCAACGACCTTTACGAACGGCCGACGCGGCGGATTATTGACGACACTGAACAAGTCCTTGAAAAGGCTTTAGCCCTTGTCCTAAAGTGCAGAGCCCATGGGCTTGTTAAGCGTGTTTTTACCATAATCCCAGCTGCAGCGTTCCGTAAAATGGCTTCCCAGTTGGAGAACTCTATTGGTGACGTGTCTTGGCTTCTTCGTGTATCAGCTTCAGCTGATGAACGTGCTGATGACTGTTTAGGCCTCCCTCCTATTGCTGCTAACGAGCCTATTTTATGCCTTATTTGGGAGCAGATCGCGATATTGTATACAGGTTCTGTTGATGACAGATCAGATGCAGCTAATTCACTTGTTTCTTTAGCCAGAGACAATGATCGGTACGGGAAGTTGATTATTGAAGAAGGTGGAGTTGGGCCATTGCTGAAATTGATGAAAGAAGGGAAAACGGAGGGTCAGGAGAATGCAGCGAGGGCAATTGGACTGCTTGGACGTGACCCAGAAAGCGTCGAACACATGGTACATGCTGGGGTTTGCTCAGTGTTTGCGAAAATCCTCAAAGAAGGTCCTATGAAGGTTCAAGCAGTGGTGGCTTGGGCAGTTTCTGAACTTGCTGCTCATTATCCCAAATGTCAAGATCTTTTTCACCAGCATAATACAATTCGATTGCTGGTTAGTCATCTTGCTTTTGAAACCGTTCAGGAGCATAGTAAGTATGCTATTGTAAGTAAAGCAACATCGATGCACCACGCTGTTGTCTTAGCTAGTAATAACAATGGTAATGCTGTTAATACTGTGAATAAGGTTGTTGAGGATGATGACAAGAATCATATTCCACATCCTCTTGGGAATAAGAAGCCTAATCACATGCACAGTATCGTTGCTACGGCAATGCAGGGTCAAATGAAGCCGCCTCAGCAGAATCCAGTCAATGGTTCAAACCAGGCAAATCAGGCCAAGGTCAATGGAAATAATAGTGTGAAGCAAAATCATGTGAACCACCACACTCAACATAGTCTTTCTTCATCTGGTGTGAGTATGGGTAATAAAGGGAGGGAACTAGAGGACCCTGCTACCAAGGCTTATATGAAGGCAATGGCTGCAAGAGCATTATGGAAACTTGCCAGGGGAAATTCGCCAATTTGTCGTAGTATCACTGAATCAAGAGCACTGCTTTGCTTTGCGGTACTCTTAGAGAAAGGACCTGAGGATGTTCAGTACAATTCAGCCATGGCAGTAATGGAAATCACAGCCGTTGCAGAAGTAGATGCTGACTTGAGAAGGTCAGCATTCAAGCCTAATTCCCCTGCCTGCAAAGCTGTTGTTGATCAATTGCTCAGAATCATTGAAGAAGCTGATTCAGATCTGCTTGTTCCATGCGTTAAAGCAGTCGGGAGTTTGGCTAGGACTTTTCGAGCTACTGAGACGAGGATGATTACCCCGTTAGTAAAGCTGCTCGATGAGCGAGAAGCAGAGATTTCTAAGGAAGCTGCCATTGCCCTCTCGAAATTTGCTAGCTCAGTTAATTACCTTCACCTAGATCATTCCAAGGCAATCATAAGCGCTGGAGGGGCAAAACATTTGATCCAACTTGTTTACTTTGGTGAACAAATAGTTCAGAGTCCTTCATTGCTTTTACTATGCTACATTGCATTGCACGTCCCTGATAGCGAAGAACTTGCTCAAGCTGAGGTGCTTACAGTTCTTGAATGGGCATCAAAACAGTCATACTTGATTCAAGATGAAGAGGTTGAGTCTTTATTGCAGGAAGCTAAAAGCAGGCTGGAACTTTATCAATCTAGAGGATCGAGGGGATTCCATTGATTGAATCTGCATAACTCAATGTGCAGAATTTGTAAGTTTGTTAGATGACAATTTTTCTATTTATATTTACAGATTTACTCTCTGTTTACTTTGGTCTTGGGAGTGTACATAAGATAGGTCTTTTGTTTTTGCCCTGATGATGTAGTGGAACACCCTGTCCAGCACCCCCCCCCGCCCCCGACCCAACTACAAAAAACTCGAAACTCTCGTGT